ACTGGGCCGCACGGGGGGGTCGCGGCGCCCGCTGCCCGGGATCTCTCTGGGCCCAAGCGAGCGCACGGTTCCGAGAGGAGCCGCGTGAGCGACTCGATGGGAGCGGGCGCACCTCGTACCTCAGTCGTTGCCGCGCGCGGCCTCCACTCCGCGGCCCGCGCGCGGCGCGCCCCCTCCGCTGATTGGACATCCAAGAACCCCTAATCCTTTGGGAGGTGACCTCATTTAGGTGGCCCAGGAACATTGAGGATATGGGGGGTCTTTTTCTGCAGATGCATCGAACCAAACCGCCCATACTTGTCAGCCTTAATGCGAGAAATGGGACCTCAGTGAGGCCAGGCCACGTCTTCATCGTCTTATAAGGTTAGGGGTTCGTTTGTTCTCCATGATCCGAGCGCGGGGAGCCGCGCCCCAACCCGCCAACGAGGGGCAACGATACATGTTTACGTCGCAGCATGGCAGGGGCAATCCGCACGCGCGCTCGGGCCAGCCGGGAAAGCGGCATCGCTAAGGGGTAACTATGCAGGCAAGCCGTATGATAAGGACGCACGATTGAGGATGCAAGGGCCCTGGAAGACCACGTCGACACTCCGCGAGCGGGGCGCGGCCAGCGAAAGCGGCCAAGAATGGGCCGAAAGGGGAAGGATGCAAGGGTAACCTTGGAAAGTCGCTCATCCTGGCTAACTGTAGGGGGGATGGGCATAGAGAGGAACACATCGACATGGAATCGGCGATACATAGCCGATAGATAGACGATAGGCCCCAGATAGTGAATCCGCATGTTCCTGGGCAGGTTGGGGCTATCGGGCCACTGTCGGCGACCGATGGGCGATTCGGGGTCGATGCATCCCCCCCTATGCCTATCCCCCCCTATCGTTGCCCCTGAACCAACCCCACCTCGCGAGATCCACCGCCCCGCGCTCTCTGAGCAGCTGTCGACGACTCCGATCGGCGGCGAGCGAGGGGGGAAGTGCGAATGAGAGGGATTTCTCAGAAAGCGGCGGGTGCTCTCAACTCCTGGCCCCTTCTGAGAAGTTTCCGGTGCCTTCGGGGAAGGCTCAGAAAACCTCTCTGGAGGCTGGGGGACTTCCGAGCCTTCTGAGAAGGCCTTCTCCTTCTCACTTCCCCCTCTGGCTCGCCGCCGAACCAACCCGACCTCGCGGAATCCACCGCCCCGCACTCTCTGAGCAGCTGTCGACGACTCCGAAGGGTGTGATCTGCAAAGCGTGTGGTCTGCAGAGCCCGCGACTGGGCGGGGGGGGCGGGCGAGGACCTCGACTGGGCTCTTTACCGCGCCCCGACGAGGGCTCAACAAACCATTGGCGCAACGCGGTGAGCCAAAGCCCCAACGGCGCCGATCACAAACCACACACCGGCGTAACCACAGCCACTGTAGTCGCCGAAGCTGACAACACGTCCAGGAAGAACGCTGCCGTGAGGATCGGCGCCGCGCGTGAGAAGGTGGAAGGGGTTCGGCAGCGGTGTCTGAGACCCCCCGCGCACAGAAGAGAGACGGAGGACAGGAACGCAGGAGGAGGAGAGGGATCTCAGGAGGTCTCTGGAGTCTCCCGAGGCCCCAAAGGTCTCTGGGCATCGCTGGAGGCCTCCAGAGGCCGCCAGAAGCCCAAGATTGGACACACCTCCAAAGTACAATATGAAAATTAAATCAAACAATCAAACAATTCAATCGTTCAATCAATCAATCAAACAATCACTGAATAAATCACTCAATCAAACAAACGAGCAGACAAACAAACAGACAAGCAAACAAACAAACAAACAAACAAACACAAACAAACAAACAAACAAACAAACAAACAAACAAACAAACAAACAAACAAACAAACAAACAAACAAACAACAGATGAGCCAATGAACAAATTAACTAACTGACAAAGTACGTAACCAGCTAACAAGCAAGCAAGCATACAAACAAGTAAGCAAGTAAACAAACAAACAAAAAATACAACAGACAAACAAAAACAGACAAACAAACAAACAAGCAAACAAGCAAGCAAACCAACAACCTAACTAACACAAAAACAAACAAACAAGCAAGCAAGCAAACAAAACAAACAAAACAAAACAAACAACTAAACACAAGCAACAACTCGTTGCTGGAGGGCAAAAGGAGACCAACATTCAGAATATATCTATACCACCGCATCGGAGTCCTGCCCCGAGGAAAGGTGGACGTGGATATCTGCCCGCCTGAGGGCGGCAAAGCGTCCACATCCACCGTCCCCCAGGGATCATGGGGCAGGACTCGACCAGCAGCGGATAATCCAGCGGTGGCGGCGAGGGCCTCTCAGGAGGCACAGAAAGGCGAGCACAGGGCAAGGGGCAGCGGCATCGGTACGTTTTCCTCCTAGGACGTCTGGGGAAGAGGTCGGCGGCGACGACGTCGGCGGCGGCGTCGGAAGCCCCTCCTGCACGAAGCTTCTGTTGCGGGAGAAGAGAGGGCAGAGAAAGGGGACGACCGCAACACCTATCGAGTAAATCGTGCCAATCCGTGGCCAATGCGGCCGAGGCTGACCAGAGGCATAATTTATAGCAACGTCCCAAATTTATAAAACACACCTGCGAGAGGAGGAGGAGAGGGGAGGAGGCGGAGGAGGAGAAGGGGAGAACGAGAAGGAGGAGGGCGACGAGGAGGAGGAGAAGGAGGAGGACGAGTGGGAGGAGGACGAGGAGGAGGAGGACAAGAAGAAGAAGAAGGGCCCTTCCTGCACGAAGTAGCCCTGGCAGGTGGGGCCCAGGCCCGTCAGCAGGGCGCCGGTGCCCTCCTCCGCGGCGACCTTGCGGAAGCCGGCCACCATGCCTACGCAGCAGGGGTCGGCCACTCCCCACGGGCAGGGAGGCAAGGCGAGGTGAGGCGCCAGTCAGTCGTTCCCGGGGGGTGGCCCTACGAGAGCCTGGCGGTGGCGCCGAGCGCCAAGAAATGACCAATTAACCATAGCGAACTTACGCGGTGGTTCACGCGGACAGCCAGCACGGCACGCTACATCGGAAACGACGGCGCTTACGCGCCATCCTACGCAAGCAGCTTACGCGCGAATGTAAGGACAAACGAACTCATTCTTCTGCGTCGCTCAGGTGAGGATGGAATGGAGGGAGGAAGGGGGATTCAGGCCATGTTGTTGGCGATGTGTGAATACCCGCTCCGACGAGTTATCGTTACCACCACGGGCATGGAGGAGTCGAGTTGGGCTGGGCGCTCCCCGAAGCGGTCCCTGCCCCTGGCGGAAAACTGCAGGCTGTTGCTTGGTAAATGATAGACACGCGTGGTAAATGAATTGGGGGACATGGTTATCGCGTGTGCCAAATGAGTCGAAACGACGGAGGGAGTGCGATCTACCGTCGCTTGACTGGACCCCGCCCCCCCCAGGACACCCGGGGAGAGGAAGGCGGGAGACCCCCCCTTATCGGATTTGAGGGAGGGGGGAGGCGAGGGGGGGAGGGGGGGGGGCTGGGCTCCAACACGCACCTCTGGAGCCCAAAAAAAGCGACATGAGGACCCTGACAGAGCGGCAAGGCAGTCGAAGAGAGCGTCGGGACAGCCCAGAGTAGCACCACGACGACCCAAGATGACTTCAAGACAACCCACAAGGCCGCCCGCCAAGACGGACCAAAAGTGTTGAAGGAGGACCGACGAAAGGCCCCAAGAGGCAAGAATCGCCCCGCTCCCTTTAGAAAACGAAATGTTTGACACACGATCGCCTTTTTTCGTCTTGACAGCTTCTCAGACTGCCCAGGGGGGCCCTAGATCGTCACAAGACAGCCGATGAGGCCCCAAAGAGAGCCCCAAGACAGCCCAAGAGGGCCCTGAGACGGCCACAGTGGTCCTCAAGACGGCCCAAGAAAGCCCCAAAAGGACCCCAAGAAGGCCCAACAGAGGGAATACGAAGTGATATTTCGAGCATTTCCCACAAGATCGCCCCGAGAGCCCATCAGAGGCCCCCGAGGCGCCCCCAACAGTCCCCAAGAAGCCTCCAAGACGACCACAAGAAGCCCCAAGAGGCCCCCAAGGGGCCCCCAAGAGGCCCAAAAAAATTTCCCAAATGTACGCAAGAGCCCTCCAAGAGGCCTGCGAGAGGCATCCCAAGAGACCTTCATGTTCATCCAAGTGGCTCCTGACCCACAGCCCAGGCACGGTGGCGGGTTGGGCCGAAGGCCACTCGATCCGCCGCCCCCTGTCGATTCATCGCAGGGGCACATGGCGTGCTAATGTATTGTTTTGCCTTCCACCGAGCGGAGATACGTCTCGATACGGCAGCGTCTACGCGCAGCCGCTGCCAGTGCCCGACTGGTGAGTCACCGACGGTGACGAGCAGTGAACAACATGGAAAAGGTGTGGGGGGAGGGCCGGTTGATCTGGAGAGCCAAAAGGCTTTCGGCAAAGCGAGGGGGAGCGACAAGACGCGATAGACACAACATGCTCGCGCGCGCACCCCCATGTTCTGCCTTCCGCTGAGCGGAGATACGTCTATGGCAGCGTCTACGCGCAACCGCTGCCAATTGCCCCAAAGCAGCCCAAACACGGATGTTCACCAGACTACAAAAGCGAACTGAGCGGCACTGAGGCGGCACAGTGCGTGGCCGCGACGACTAGCACGATTGCAGTCGAGATCGGACAGGAGCGAGGAGGGAGAAGGCCAACGCACGGTCAAGAAGCCTGGGGCATTCGGCCGCGATCGCGGTCCAGTGAACTCCAGCGTCGGCTCTACCCTAAAGCTGCCAATGCGCTCTTCCAGTACGAAAGCACTGGCCCCGTCTACAACGGCACTGTCTCTGCAGTCGCGAGCAATCCTCGCGAAGGATATTACCTACCAGGAACTTTGCGCGCTTCCTCCAGCGGGTCCTATAGTGGCACTGATCACCGACTACTTCAAAACACCAGCCGAGATCCAAGAGTTCCCGAACCGCTGGCGTCTTAAAAACATAAGAACTTACAGGATTCACCAAGTTCCACGGGACTCCTTGCGCAACACAGGTTCTAATCAGTTGTAGGCTAGCTCGCACAAGAGCGCCCCCGTGATCGACCACTGCAGCTCGCTAGACAAACCTGAGAGCCCTAAAGAATACGCCTCGGAACGCAAACTGCCGTTCTGAGCAATCTAAAAGCTAGCACAAGGCCAGGCTACCATCGCACCTGCTACTTTTCCCGATTGCGCATCAGCCGGCAATCTCAGACGCGACATTTCATCTAAGACATCCAAGCCCGTCTCGAGCTCCACCTCTTCGCACGGGTACCCCTCCTGCCAGAGATCCTCGGCGACGCCGCCAGTCCCTGAGAAGAGATCTACGAACCACCGGCCCTTCATCGCCTACAGGAGCATCGAATCACCACCTTGGCCCGCAGCATAATGTCCTCTAAGTGTCGCCCGCATGCCTGGAAATTTTCGCTGAGGTCTCTGTTGTGGCGCAGCTCGCTGTGACAAAGCCGCGCGTGTCTCGTATCTCATCACACTGCTGTCGGCCTAGTCCCTCTCTGTTTGACTTCGCTCAACGTTCGTGCTCGAGACCCCCGATCGATCGAAGCCCCCGAGCGTCTGGTCTGATGCGGAACCACTCTGACACCCCGGGACCTCGCACACTCCGTGAACACCTTCAGCTAGTCGCAATACGCGAATCCCCAGACCGCCCCCCCCCCTCCGCCTGCCATGACAAGGTACGCAGTAGAGGGGATAAGAACTGAAGCCAACTGCTGTCCAGCAGCATCGAGCGGTCGAACTCCCCGATCTTGTCGGGCACCCCGCGCTGCGCGGGATGCGCCAGCAGGCTCCAATAACCGTCGGGCCGCTTTGGCGCCAAGAAGCTCTCTGGCCCCAGGGCCAGGAGGCAGCTCGGCCTGAGGCAATTAGGTACTTACTGAGAGCAGGACGAACAGCGCCGTGCGGGGCTCGCCTCGGGACACCATCTCGTCGGCCATCCCCGCCCAAGGACAAAGCGGCCCCGGCCGGCGCGATCGCCCCTGGCGCCAGCCGCCCCCACCCCTTCAGGGCGCGCCAGGCCCGCGGCACCCGGCGGCTGCCGCGCCGCCCGAAGCCCGGCTCCGCATGCATCAGCGCGGCGAGCAGCTTGGTCCCGCGATGAGCCTGTTCTCCCAGGAAGAAGTCCCGCTCGAAGAAACGAACCAGCATCTCGTCCACCTTCTCGTCGCTCACGAGCTTGAGGTCTCCGAGACTTGCGAACTCCTGCCAGCGGTCCAGTTCGGCCTGGTACTGCTTGCGAGTCTGGCGCTGCACCGCCTTCTGCTCCGGGAGACTCGCGTCCGCGCTGAGCGTGTCCCAGGCCTCCTCGACATAGGCCAGCACCCGCTGCTTGCGGCGTCTCCAGAGCACCCTCTCGCGGCCTCCTGCCGGCGGCGCGGTGCCCTCGGACGCGGCGCCAGCGCTGCTCGAGCTGCTCGGCACTGCAACGCCCGAGCGCGACCGCACGGCGGGTGAGCCTCTGCCCGTGTTCCACGAGCGCCCCCCACGATGGCGGCGAAGCCCGCGCCGCCGTCGTCGCCCAGCCCCCCGGCAGAAAAGCCCCAGGCAGCAGCCGGCCTCGACTCGGCTTCTGCTCCTCGCCCGCCTTCGCGGGGGGGCCCAGCACGCGCTCGCGGGCGGCGGGCCCCGTCGCCGCGGGCCGCTCGGCCGCAAGCAACGCCGCCAGCAACCTGCACCTCATCGGGCGTCTGGGCGCCAGCCAGCGGCCATCGAACTGCTCGAGCGGACTCGGGGTGGATCGAAACGGGACCACACACGAGGCCAGAAGGGGCCGGGGCCCCGCTAGTTTGAGCCAAGATGGTTACGCGACTAGGTGGTGACGGACGGTCCGTTAGCAAAGAAGGAGTGGGAGCCTCAGCCCCATTCGAACTCAACTCTTGAGAGTCGGCCCTGGCTCGATCAACCTTGAAACTGCCCCTCCCCCTGGACATGACCTCTACCCCCCGATTCGGGTCGCAAATTCGAGAAGGGCCGTGGGCACTGTTTAGCTCCGACGGTATCCAGCGCACCACTGCATACAGATCCTTGGCCAGACAGGAATTACAGAACCGGCGCACTTGGTTCAGCAGGAGAAAATCACGGGCACGGCATCGATCAAAAGCAAAACATACAGCCACGTTATTCACTAAGAGAAGCTGGCGCAAGTCACGCCCGAATGACACCAAAGATCACAAGAGCCCGAGCCTCGAGGTGCACGACCCCCTGTTTCCAACGCCAGGGGCCCCAAAAAGTCGGGCGCCAGAGCCCAGGATCCAGACCGACCCTGGGCACCTCCAAAAACCCGGGGCCCACGTCCTGGACGACAGCGGGGAGCGCCGCTCGGAGTCCCGCGGCCCCACCACCACCTACCACGCCCCTAGACAACTTCTCGCAGACATCCTCGATCCCCAAGAGCATTCACAGCCTCAGGGAACAGGAACCTATCTCTCTCACGACTCCTACCTGTCTGCTGCACAAGCTTCAATGGCCACCAAGCCTCAGCCCCTCCATATCCAAACTCGGAGGCATCCGAGGCGACGACAAGCTGATTCCATGGACGAGCCCAGTCGCTGCACAAGGAAACTATCAAGCCCGCAAACACTTGAAGCTCTTCGATCACGCTCGGCCGCAACCGCGCACTGACAAGATACTTTTCTGAACGAAAGCATAGCATGAGTGAGAGCAAGAGAGAACGGGACGCCGAGCCATCGCCAGGAACGTCAGGTGACCCAGCAGGACCTCCAGAGCGCCCCCCGAACAGCGACCGCGCTGCAGCAGTCCTGCAATGGCCTGCCGCGCCCGCAGCCGGCGCTTTCCCGAGGCTCGGGTCTGCATCAGCTGCCCGTCGATCTCGACGCCCATCACCTCGGACACGCCCGAGGTCATGGCCTGCTCGTGCACCAGCAGCCCCTTCTGCATGAAGGCTTCGGTCACTCCGTCGAGCGTCGACCTGACGCGCTCCGACTCCGCCCCCACGATCCCCATGTTGCCCACGTAGATGCAGCGTCGAAGAGCCCCCCGCGCGTCGCGGTCGCGCAGGAGGCTATCGGGGCTGAGCGGCGGCACAGCGCAAGCCAGCTCCTCCTGACACCTGGTAGAAGAACAGGCCCCAGGAGAAGCCCATGGGGACCCGTCAGCACGGTGCCCTCCACGACTTGGCCAGCCAGACCGGCTGCGCCGCTGCGCACAGAGGGGAAGCAGAAGTAGCGCCGCAAGAAGGGCGGCATCCTCAACCTGTGACACGCGTCCTTCACGTCGGCGACGCCCACCGTCACCGAGAGCCGCTCGGCCAAGGACGTGTCACCAGGTCGTCGTCGAGCTCCTCGCCTGGGCCCACATCGAACTCGATGCTGCTGAGCCCCTCCGCGGTGATTAGGTCCACGCTAGGTGGCCGCCAGAACCACTGATTGGATCGCCTCGCGTCTAGGAAAAGTCGCTGTCGTCCACGGCCTTTCTTCCACACGCAGAAGATGCCCGCGTTCTCGAGCGGCTCGAGCGTGCAGTCGAGCAGCCCGCGGGGCATCAGGTCCTTCAAAAAAGTCACGTACACTGTCTTGTGCTTAACCAAGGCGGGGTCGCAGTAGCAACGAGCGCCGTCGAGCTCGAGATCGGCCGCGACCTCGGCAACGGGCTCGAGCATGCGCTCGCCCTCCCGCTCCAAGACGCAGAGGCCACGCCTGCCGCAGACATCGCCTATGTGAGGGGAGCCCTCCACCGACTCTGGCAGTGACAGTCGGCCTTGCTGGAAGGAAGCCAGTGAGTCCTTGGTCGCCCCCGCCCCATACAGGGATCGACCGCGCAGCAACTCCAGCAGGGCCACTTGCGTAGACGGTGCATCAAGATGTCTGCACGCGCGCTGCTCGCCCTGGGCCAGCCAATGCACGTACTCGAGAACATCCTGCCGCATGTTGTCGGGCTCCCCCTGGACGACGTGTCCGAGACCGCAGACATGCATCCAATTCAGCGCCTGCGCGGCGCTGTCAACAAAATCGCTCTCTCGGCGGCGGCGCCGCCACCTCTGCAGCCTCCGCCCCCCCCGGCCGGCAGGGCGCTCGGGCACCTCCTCGCAAGGCAAGGGGAAGAGGTCCCTGACGCCTCTGGACGCGGCGGCGCGGCCTGCTCCCACGCGCGCGGGGGCCGGGTCGGGGGCGCTCTCCCAACCCCCGTGAGCCGCCATGGCTTCGGGGCGGAGCCACGGCCACGGCCCCCCGGGTTCTTGCCGCCGCTGCCCTGTCTCCTTCACCGCCGCCAGCTCCATCATCTTCGTCATCGCCCACGCCCTTCAGGTTGCGCGTGCGGGCCGCATTCAACTCGTTCTCGCCCTTTGCCTTCCTGATGCCCCACTGGCGGAGCGCAGGAGGCACGCTGTCGAGCACCCCCACGACGCCCTCGTAGTGCCGAGCCATCCGCCACGACGGCGTGCCCGAGCCGGTGTAGGCGTCCACGATCGCAGCGATCCGTGGGCTGATGCGCTCGAAGATCTGCAACGCTGGCATCTTCAGCTAGTCGTAGGTACCCCCGATGTAGACCACCTCGATCAGTTGTGCAACTCACGGAACATCCTGTCAGACCCCTCGATCCGAAGGTCGCGGCAGAACTCCGCCAGCCAGGTCCTAGGGTTGCCACCGTTGCGAAAACTCTGGTCCATCCAGCGCAGCAGCGAGGCGCGGGTCCGTCGCCCCACTTCTCTGAGCGAGACTCCAGGCACACCTGTCTCCACACTACTTTGAACCGCTCGCCTCGTGGATCGAAGTCTACCCACAAGGTACGGCAGTCCTCGGCGACCGCGGCGGGTCGCCCAGCGACAGGCGCGTCTGTGCCCTTGCCGCCGCCAGCGTCGCTCTCGTGCACCGCGGGCCTCACCGCTGCTGCCGCCAGGTCGAGGAGCTCGCGAAGGCGGCCATCCACCTCGGACTTCCTCACCAGCAAGCACTTCACGTACAAGTCGCTGGCGTGCTGCTTCAGCATCGCACAGGAGCCCGCAGGGACGCCCACGCCATCTGTCGGCCCCACTATCGCCCCGACGGCGTCGGGGCCTCGAACCCGAACACGATCCAGCAGCAGCCAGGCGGCACCCGACCAAAAGGCCGCGGGGCCTCCGCGCCCCCCCCGGCTCCGTCGCCGCCATGCGGCACCACTGCCGCCTCCATCTCACGGCGGGCCTCGTCAGGCCACGGCACCACCTGTCCAGCACCGTTCACGTAGTCCTTGGGCGGGCGGTGAGGGGCCCCAGCCCATGCCAGCATGCGATAGTGCCCCACCGCCCTGCGCACCAGCAGCTCGTCGGTCGGGCACTCCGCGAACCGATAGAACCTCCCGCGCAGCACCCTCGGAGGGCTGCCATCGACCGCAAGCGTCGCGAGACGATGCGGCCCGGGCTGGCTGCCATCCAGCGCATCTTCGCACTCGTCGCCGCCAGGCGTGATGACGCGCCAGCTCCAGCCAGGCGACGCCCCCAGCTCCTCGGCGCTCGTGCCCACCAGCAGCCGCTCGTGCCAGAGCGCATCCACGCCGTGCGTCACCGCCACTGCCTGCCCAGGCCGCAGCCTAAGCAATATAGCCTCTTCGGTGCCGACGCGCCCCGTCTCCAGCACCAGCCTCGCGCCTCTCGGGCCTCTCGGCAGCAGCGCCACCCCCCCGACGCCCCTGCAGCCAGGCGCGCGCCTGCAGCCCGAACGTCAGCAACCCAAGCAAGGCCCCGAGCCAGCCGCCCGCGGCCGCCTCGGCGTCGCCGCACTCGCAGCGGCACTCGGGGACAACAGACCCTCGGCCGCCCTCCTGGCCCTCGGCCTGCGCCACCGTCCACGCGGCGGGGGCGGCGGGCCCTGATCCCTCAGCCGCTCGAGCGTCGAGGCCACCACCGCCCCCACGCTGGGCCCGACCTCCGCGGGCTCGTTCGGCTCGGGCGCGAGCCCGCGCACCTCGGGCAGCGCGGCGAGGGCAGCCAGGATCGCCCACTGCCAATGGGCCAGCCCGGCGCCCACCATGCGCGCCGCCAAACTCCCCCGTTGATCTGGAGAGCCAAAAGGTTTTTGGCAGAGGAGGGAGCGACAAGACGCGATAGGCACAACATTTTCGCGCGCGCACCCCCAGTCGGTTTTGGTTATTTTTCCAAAAGAACTCCCCCCGGGGCTTCAGCCCGTCCCGCCGACCACCCGAAAGGCCCGGAATTCTCCCAATGTTTGGCTCAAGATGGCCCAAGATGGTCTCCAAGATGGCCACGCTGGCCCAAGATGGCCTCCAATACGGCCCAAGATGGCCCACAAGTCCGCCCAAGATGGCCCAAGACAGCCTCCCATACGGCCCAAGAATCCAAGACGGCCGAAGACGGCCCGAGAGGCCCCCCAGAGGCCTCCAAGACGGCCCAAGAGGCCTCCAAGGTCCTCCAGGAGGGCCCGAAGAGACCAAAATCATTAATTGTCCTGAGGTTTTTAAAGGTTGTTCGCATTTGCTCCTCTTCGGCTTTCCGACGGCCCGAGACGGCCCGAGAGGCCCCCAAGATCGCCCGCGCAGCGCCCAAGAGGCCTCCAAGATGGCCTCAGGACTGCCCAAGAGGCCCCCAAGACGGCCCCCAGAGGGCACAAAGACGACCCAAGAGGCCTCCAAGACGCCCAAGACGGCCTCTAAGACGGCCCTGGAGCACCCCGAGAGGGCCCCAAGTCGGCACAGAAAAAGCCCCCAAACGACTTCCGACGGCGTCAGACGGGCCACGAGCCCACCAAGATGGCCGAAGCTGGCCCAAGACGGCCCAAGAGGCCTCCAAGAGGACCTCCAGGAAGGCCAGGAAATGGGCCACCTGAGTGCGTGGATGCCGGGCCACGGGCAAACGCGCAGGCAGGGGGGACAGAACGGGACGCCTGACATGGACCCCGGGCGCGCAGGCGCCGCCCCTCGAACCCCCCTGCACAAGCTCTGCAAGCGGGGAGGTGGGAGGGGAGAAAACGGAATGGGAGAGGCGAGCGAGGCCCATCCCAGTCCGGCCGGTGACCTTCCACGGCCCCCCGGGGCCCCCAGCGTCAAAAACCGTTTGGTGGACGCGCGTTCGGAGCGCCGCCTCGCCCGGGCCGTAACTCACGCCGCGCCGGGGCCACCGAGGGCACGCCCCAGCTGGAAGGCAGGCCCCTAAGAGCGTGAACACCAGGCAGAGCGACGGAAGGTGACAGGACAGGCCAATCAAGCGATGCTTCCGCTGGGCGATCTGCGCGAAGCCCACCGTCGGGAGGGAGGGGTTGCCCAGGTAGTTCGACGGATACGCCAGCATATCCAGCCTCTCAGCCGGAGAGAACTGTCGCCAGGATGTCCCCTCCCAAGCTAGAGCATAATCCTCGTATGCGACCGGTGGAAAACGTCGATGGTCAGCGCCCCGCCGCGCCCCCGCGCCAGGCGACGCTTCGGGGGGCGCCTGCGGCGAGTGGGGCCGCCACCGCTCCTCCCAGAAGGGAGGGATCGATGGGCACAACTGCCGGATGCCGTGCTTCGGGTCTGCGTGGAGGGCCGCATCCGTCAGCTACGTGGGCCACGGCTGGGACAGGCTTGGCGCCCGCGTAGCTGATCGCAGGGGCACCGGCAGCACCGCGGAGCGGATCCCACGCGAAATCTTAAGAGGGGACACTCTGCGCCCACTGGAACGGCATGTCCGCGCGGCGAGCCCAGAATAATGCAGACTGCGCGACGTAACCGAACGACCCCGCAGCCACTGCCATCGGCGGAGTCTCCATGATGTCCGAGATAATGTCCAGGTCGACGGCCAGGTCCGCGTCCGCGACAGCAGGAGCTTGCACCCCCAAGGCCTGCACCTTGGGCATCGCGGAGACCCCGTCGCACAGCCGGCGGAAGGCCTGCAGCGCCGCGCACGCTCCACCCCAGCGCAGGGTCCGAGGCTGAGCATCTGCAACACGAAAGCGCAGCAAGATTGTCTGCACCAGCGGCCGGTCCAGAATGGGCCCCAGCATGCGCGGGCAGAAATCCTCGCCGGAAGAGTCGAGGACGCAATTCGGGAAGCTATGGCCGACCACGGCAGCAGGATCGGCCGAGGGGCTGGCGAATACCCCCGTCGCCCTGCAACCAAGCGCGAGCATCGCGAGAGGAGGGGCCCGCGTCCGCGCCGAAGTCCAGGCAGAGCGTCAGCCCTGGAAACCAGGTTGCCCACGGGGCTTGGGCCACGTCGCCGCGCCCGCGCCAGCTGAGCGGCTTCGCGGCGGCAATCTGGGCGGGCACAGCTGGTCGCAGCAGCGGGGGCGCGGCCGGCGAAGGCGCCGCCCCTGCAGGGCGGCGCTGCTGGATAGACAGAAGTCGAAGAAGAGTTTGACCACGCAGTGGGAGCAGGCGGCGCGAGGGCGACGGAGCCGCCCACGCACGGCGTCAAAACTGCGGCTGTTAGTTCTGGGGCCGCCTCGTCAGGGCCCGCGGGCCCTGGCAAGGCTCGAGGCCTAGTCACCGCCGCTTGTGGTCGGCGGCGCCGTGGTCCCTGGCGCCGCACACCGCGCCATCCTCCCTGACGATGCACGAGCACCGGTGCGCCCCCCACGTGGGGCAGCGCGAATCATGCACGCATCCCTTCTTCGAGTTGAACGCACGGCAAATCTTGGTCCCATCTCGGAGCTGCGTAGACGTGACACCGAGACTGCACTGATTGCCCAGCCCTGGGTCAGAAGGCCCCGCAATGCGCTTCCCTCCGCCGGCGCCAGCGCCTCCCTTGCCAGCGCCGCTGCCTCCCTTGCCGGCTCCGCCGCCGCCGGCGATGGGTTGCCAGCGGCGCGGCGGGGGCTGAAGGCCGCGCGCGGACGGCGCGCCCGAGGCGCGACGGGGAGGGGGCTGGCGCTTGCGATCCCGACCAGAATCTCAGTCAGCAAGAGACTGGCTGACCCCGAACACCTCGCGACCACTGACAACCGTCCACTCGGAGGAGGTCTGGGCCAAAGCCTTCTCCAAGGCTTCGCCGGCCTGCCACTGCTGGCAAACCACCTTGGCCATGCACGCCCGCGCGATGCGGCCCTCTTTCTCCGGCCACTCCAGCAGCTGGTCCGCCGGCAAGTCTGTCCGCAAACTAATGCGGAGGGCCCGGTCCGCGTAGTCTAGGGTCTGGCTGTACTCGATCGTGAGCACCTGCGTGTCCTTCGACACCTTGGACGCAACGTAGTAGTTCCCCGCTTTCGCCCACGCGTTTGCCAGGGCGCGCAACCCCCAGTAGTAGTCCACAACGGCGGTGGCCTTGTACTCAGGGGAGGTCGCGTGCGAGATCGTGACGTTGTGGGCCAACACGGTATCCTCTTTCCTCCTGTGGCCGCGGTCAACGAGCAACGACTTGAGCTTCGAGATCTCTGGCACTGTCATGGGCCACCAGCGGAAATCCCGCCAGACCCGGTTCTGGAGTGCGTCACAAGGGTGCAGGAGTTTATCGAAGACGTGGCCCACGTGCGACTTCTTCCAGTCGCTGCCCATGCGGTCCTTGTCGCCCTGAAGGAGCGGGCCCTCCCAGCCCTGCAAGACATCGCCATGGACAAAGCTTCATGAGCGCCGTAAGCAATCTACCAGGCGATGCGGAACCGCGAGGTCTCGACTCGAAGACGGGGCATATCCGGAAAGCGATTCTGCATCCACTTCTCGATGCGGGTCTCGTACGTCGCGAGGCGGAACGCCCCGACAAGGTCCTGCAAGTTGCTCATGCCCTCCTCGTTCGCGCCCGTGCCGATGAGGATGGCCTCGACGTCGGCGCGGACGCACGACGCCGCCAAACACTGGGCGAGGCCTCCGTCCGAGGAGCGCGCGTCGAGCGACTGCCACTGCGGCGCGGCGGCGGCGGCCATTAGTGGCCGGCGTTGGCTGGGGGTGCGCGGGTCAGCGCTGCGCGGCGGCAGCGCGCTTGGTGTCGGAGACGGCTGCAGCGTGACGCGCGCATTGGCAACGACCTATCAATGCGCACTCTGATTCAAAATGTGGTGACATTTACCCGGCCGGTCATCGGTGACCTCCCAGAGGCCCCCGGAGGCCGCGGAAGGTCACCGGTCAGAGGTTACCACAGCTGGATTTCCGCAGCGTGGCGACGTTAGCCCAGCTGGTCGTCGGTGACCTTCCGGAGGCCCCCGGGGCCCATCAAAGGTCACCAGCCGGAGGTTCCCGCAGCTGAATCCCACAGCGTGGTGACGTTAACCCGGCCGGTCGTCGGTGACCTCTCGGAGGCCCCCGAAGGCCGCCGAAGGTCACTGGCCGAGGTTCCCACAGCTGGAGCACAGGACGGGAGGCCCCCCCTGCCACCACTAACTGCGCGAGGCGGGAGCTGGGACGCAGGGCGGAGGGTCCTGCCTTCCTCAAGCGCGCTTCGCCGAGAGCTTTCCGGGGGACGGGCTGGCACGCCCCAAACGAGGCCGCCCAGAGCTGGCGCGCGCCCAGCCCCCCGAAGGGCGCCAGCGACAACATTCGGCATCGGCCATTTTTATTACCTGTGATGTCGCGCCTGTCGATTGGCTCGGAACAGGCGACCCCCCCCCCGCCCCGGGCAGCCTCAACCTCCACATCGGCCGGGGGGGGTGGGGGGAAGAGACGAGGAGGCGGAGACGAAGGGACAGAAGAGGAACGAGGCAAAGGGATGATGACAATATGAAACATCATGCTGACCTTTCCTTCTCTCCAACGACCTCCCATCCAGTCGCCGCGAGCGCAGTAGGCCATGCCACGCTCCAAGGGCCTGCGAGGCTGGAAAGGCGGCGGCACGGGGCTGGGCGGCGCGCCCGCACCGGCGGCCCCTCAGGATCGGAATAGTCGCGCAGACGAACTGCTGCACAACCTGGCCAGCGGTGAATGACGAGACCCCGGAGGGAATCGCAAGACACCTGACGAGCCCAGAGACCCCGTGGGGCATTAGGAGGCGCCCACCGCCAAAGCGGCGGGTGAATCACGAAACCCTGGAAAGGAATCGCGAGACACCGGGTGAGTCCAGTGACCCCGTGAGGAATCCAGAAACGCCCACCGCCTAAGCGGCGGGTGAAAT